TCCACCCGAGGGGGACCTGCAGCGGCCCCACCGTGTGCGCTCGGCACCGAGCCTGTCCCCGGCGCCCTCCTCTGTTTGTTTGCTTCCGTCCTCGTCCCACGGCAGTGGGCGGTGACGGTTCCCTGGAGCGCGTGGACGGCCGCTGGCCCCTGCCCGTCACTTCCTGGGGGCGGCCGCTGCCTGGGACCTCTGCCCAGCCAGCCCCTCTGGGGACAGAGGAGTTGGCGGAGGAGCTGGTCTCCGCCACCTGTCCTGGGGACACCGCCCTTCCTCCTTCCATCAGCGTCTGCGTCTCAGAAATCTGAGTGTCTGGGGGACACATCAGCACAGGCAGAGCCTCAGCCTGGACCAGACGCGGCTCCTCACCATGGAGTCGGGGGCGGAGTGCCATCGCTCTAGCTCCCTCACTTCAGGGCGGGGCGTGTGCTTTTTTTGGCAACCCCCGTGATCGCTGCTCACGTGTGACAGCGTTAAGAAGATAATCAGCTTGGTCCCTGCGTCCTCGCTCTGGGGGACACGGTCTGGCTGGCCGGGTGCCTTTGGGGACGGCTCCCTGAGTCTCACTGCTCTCGGCTGGTCACTGCGTTTGTGGCGGAAGTTGCCAGTCCCTCCCGGCATCCGCACATGGGGCTTGGTGTTCATCCGTCACGTCCCACGTGCCAGGGGCTGCTCTGAGCTCTGCACGTGTGTCTCCTTCAACCCTCCAGTACCTCCACTTCCCAGATGAGGAAAATGAGTCACAGAGGTCGCTTCCCGAGGTCAGACCGCTAGGGCCCAGACCCAGGCGTTGGATTCTGATCGGGGTGCTCGACCCCAGCCTGCGCCCCTCCAGGACGTGTTGTGCGAGCTTAATTCTGGGGAAATTACAGAGCAAACCCCGAATGGTTTTCTGGAACCTTCTAGCTGAGCCAGGAGAGGAGCATTTGGCTTTGGGGGGCTGTGTTGGCGGGAGCCCCGCGGGCAAAGCGGCGGCGGGGCGGCCTGGTCACGGTGGTCAGTGCTGGGACATCGCAGGTACCCAGGCCTCTCCACCCCTCGGGGTGTTGCCGTCTCTCCTGCTTTGCTTTGTCCCCATTTGTTTGCACAACCTGCTGACCAGAGTTTGCAGCTCTTAGTGAAAACACAGTTTGGAAAGGACCGGGGAATGGCTCGGTCCCCCTGTGCTGGCCTGCAGTTGCGGGCGGTGGTCCCCATCAGCCCCGGTGGCCCCTGCAGGGCTGAGACCTGCTGCTGTCTCTCTGTGGTGGGGCCTCGGGGAGGGCCAGCCGCTCTGTTCAGTTATAAGTCACGCGCAGGGCCCACCGGGCAGACGTGTTGTGTGCGCTCCTCACACACTCAGTGTAACACAACACGGTGAGCGCGGCTGCCGGACCCAAAGGAACAGCAGACGGTAGACGGTGCTTCCAGGAGGGCACCCGAGTCCCGTGACGGCGGCGGGGAGGCCCGAGCGCCACGCCGGGAGCTGGAACTCCATCTGGGCTGACCCTGAGGTGTTGCGCTGCCTCCCGCCAGCTACAGAAGTAAAATGTGCTCTAAGGAGAAAAGGAGAAACTGCCCATAGAAGAAAAAGTGAGGAAAAAATATAAACGAACGTTCAGAAGCCAACCGCTGCCCCGTCTGCCCGCCGTCTGGCCAGATGCTTCCGGGTGTGTGTTCGAGTGGGAGTGAGTGCAGGTGTGATCACCCACCCTTCCCCGGGGAGCGGACTTGTGGCCGGCGGGGGCAGGCATCGCGGCCCCCCTCGGCCACGTGGTCTGTCCCGTGTCACCGGGGCACGTGGCTGCCCCCAGCCATGTTTCTCCCACGTAATCGAGGCACGTGGCCGCCCTCTCAGCCACGTGGTCTGTCCCGTGTCACCGAGGCGTGTGGCCGCCCTGTTAGGCTGTTGTCTGTTTTGTGCTCGGTGCAGTGAGCACCCTGTCTGCGTGGACTTAGGGATTTTTGGGTCATTTCCTCAGGCTCATCCCTCGTGTTGCTAAGTCACCAGCTTCAGGCCTTTTAAGGGCTTTTTATACGTACAGACACGCTGTTTTGTAAAATGGATTAGCTTACGTTTCACCAATACTTAAAAGAACAAAAATTTAAGATTTTAGTCTCTGTTGTTCTAATAGGAAAAAAAATCTCATTATCGGGGCCCGTCTAACTGGAGCCCACCGTGGCCAGCATTGATTGAGCACCTTCTGTATACAGGGGCAGTCTGAGCCATCAGAGGCAGAGCCAGCGTGGGGCCCCGGGGAGGGTGGTCCGCAAGGTCGGGGAGATGCAACGGGTGGAGGGCTTCGTGGTTCTGCGCCCAGCCCAGCTGTCGAGCCTGCAGGGAGCCCCCGAGGACAGTCAGCCCTGTCGGTCTCCAGCCCCCTCTGCGAGAGGAGACCACCTCGGCACGTGTCTTTGCCAGGGAAGAGTGGACAGCCGGGGCCCCTCTCATGTCTGCACGGAGGAGGGGGCTTCTGGGTCCTGCGTCTGTTTGGGGCCGAGCTCGTGACCTCTGGGGTTGGGGGCTGGCCCGGGTATGTGTCGTGTGGTTTCAGGACAACATCTGTGTCCATCGCTGAAACAGCCTTTGTCTGCATCCTCCGTCCCTTCATTTCACACCGTGGGGACCACGTGAGCCAGGTGCCCAGCGGGGGCACTCACCGGGCTTGGGAGCGGCGTCAGCACAGAGCTGGGGGATCTGTCTACCCACCCGGAGCGTGTGTGCCGGGCTGGGCCACAGAGCAGGGTGGAGACGTGGCGGGCAGGCAGGGCTCACGGAGGAAGGCATTCAGGAGAGCCATGACAGGGGGCCCGGGTTTCTCCCCTCCGTCCCTGTGACAAGACCGCACAGCCCTCTGAGCCTGGGCGTCCCCACTTCTGACACCGTGGCGGTGACTCCTCCTGCTCCCAAAGCTGGGGGTGCATCTCCTGAAATACTGTGCCTGCTCCGTAGACTGTAACTAACACAGCCCTCACCACACACGCACGGGATGGTGTGTGATCCGGAAAGTAATTACAACCTGAAACTTTCCCCGCTGTTGGATAAGACTTAAAAAAAAAAAGAGCAGATAAAATTGAGAATTCTCTCAGTCATTAGTTGGCTCGTTCACGTCAGCGCTGACAGTAACGATCGTGATGGTGGCCGGCGTGGACTGAGCGCCTTCTGTGTACGGGCACATTTACACGCGCTGGCCCAGGGCATCGCTTCGTCCCCCTTGCAATCACCCGCTGTTGGTTCCCAGAATCGTGTCCCCTGTGTCTGGAGTCTTAGCGCCGAGGGGACCTGCTAAGTGGGTGGCTCTCCAGGTGGGGAGGTGACCGGTAGTGGCGGCTGTGGCTTAATGTTTACGATTAAGCTGCAGAAAGTCCGCGGCCCCTCCCTCTCCGCGGGGCTTGCGACATGTGGGTGGCGGGAGACTCCGAGTGACCGTGTCTTGTCATTTTCAGGCTCTGCGGGCCCCCTCGCCGGCCGCGTCTCTGTGCTGTGACAGACCGTGCAGGTGAGTGTCGGTCACCCCAGCTCCTCGGGGTGCCCCTGGCCGCGGGCAGACCTCCCAGCGTTACCCGTGGTCATCGAGATGTTGTCTTCAGTTTTAAGATGAATGCTCGAGGGGGAGCCACCCCACGATGCTGTCTCTTTTTCCGGGTGTGATCGCCCAGCGTTAGGATCCCTGAGTGTGGAAGCGTTCAGTAAATAATTACATAGCCGCGATTTGATGGTGAAATGCAATTTGGGGCGGGGGCCAGGGGTGAGTTCCAGAGTGGACTCCAGCCCGTGGAACACGCAGGTGCCCGGGACGGCCCCAGCCAGCACCCCACGCGCACGGGCCCCCGGGGAGATCACGGTTGTCCAGGACACACTGGTGTTAATTTTAACACGAGTGTCAAAAAACACGTGACCTGATTTTCAAAAAGGAATCAAAACTCTTTCACATCCATGTCTGGGGCATAAGGTAGAGAAAAAAAACCTTGGCCATTGTGTAGATTTGAATAAACCCACTTTAAAAGGTTCATGGTGTTGGGTATTCGACCTTGTTGTAGATATCTCTCAAACGTGTCTTTGTCGTTTAGAAATAAATGTAGAAATGTTCATCCCTAAGGCCGCCCGCCTCCCCGGGGCCTATGCTGGGAGGGGACTTCAGGCTGCGGTCCCCCGTGCAGCATGTCCTCGTGATGAGAAGCGGGGCTCTGCCCGGGCTCCCCACACCAGCCAGCCCTGGCCAGGGCCTGCCCTCCACCGCCGGTTTCATGCCCTGGGCGTTTCTACCCCTCTCCCTCCCTCCCCAGACCCCATCGTCCGGTTCCTGCCGCCCGCCCCGGTCTGCTCGCCCTCGGTTCCTGCAGACGTTAGCCCCCGCCTCCCGTGGCTGGGATTCCTCCCCAGCCCGTCCCTAGGCCTGCGGCCCCCACACCTGGCAGAGGCTGGTGCACACAGGACCAGCCGCCGGCGTAGATGCCTCCACCACCCACCCCACACGATGGGCGGCTTCTTCCCGGCTCCCTGCCGCGGGCCTGATGCCCCGGAGCGAGGAAGGCTCCTCCCTCCAGGGTCCTGGCTTCCTGAACCCGGCCGGCCCGCTGCAGGCATCTCCATCGGGCCCGCAGCACCGCCGGGTGCCCCGTGTCCTCTGCGTACGCCCTGCCCCAGTCTGTTAAGGCCACTGAGACGCGGGCCCTCCTGTGACGGGAAGTACTCAGACTGTGGACAGGAATCCTGCAGGTGCCGGCATCAGGTCCGGCGTGCACAGAGTGAATGTCCCCCCTCCCCTGGCCCTGGTCCTCAGGGCCTCTCCTGAAAGCTGCCCCTCCCCCAGGCCTGCGACGCGGAGCCCCGCCATGGAGGACGGCCGCGAGCTGGACCTCACCTACATCACCGAGCGCATCATCGCCGTGTCCTTCCCCGCCGGCTGCTCCGAGGAGTCCTACCTGCACAACCTGCAAGAGGTGACACGCATGCTGAGGTCCAAGCACGGGGACAACTACCTGGTGAGCGGGGCTGGGGGGCATCGAGCGTGGGGACAGTGGGGGGACACCAAGTGTGGGGGACGCCGAGTGTAGGGACGGGGGAGACACAGGGTGAACACACTGAGGGGAACACTGATCACGGGTTCAGCTGGGAGGACACTGAATTTGCTGAAACTCGAGGAAGCCGCCCGTGTCCTGGGGTCTCTCTGGCCGTCCGTCCGTCTTGCCACAGGTTGGTGCTCTGGGACCCGTGGGTCACGAGCGAGGTCCCCAGGGAGCAGGACTCACAGGGCCGCGGTGGTCCGGGCAGGGCCGCCCTGGGGGAGGCCCAGGTCTCCTCGGGCCTGCGCAGCCACGTGGCCTGTGGCCCCTGTGGGCCCGCCTCCCCGCTGGGTTGGGGATGGTGTTTGGCCTCCCTGGTGTGGATGCCCGCTTTCTGTCTCCCCGAGGTCAGCCAGGAGGACCGGGCATTGCCCGGCTCCACTGTGAAATGCGGGGCGTCTCTGGCTGGGTCCACGGTGAGGGGAAGTGGGGGACAGCATCTTCCTGACCCCCCTCCATCTCACCCAACCCTGCGCCTGTCAGTGGCCCTGCGTCTGCGTTCTCCGTGGGTTCTGATCACGACTTGACTTAAATTCCAGCTCCTCGCCTTCCTGGACCTGCCCGGTGTGGCCTCGGGTATCTCCTGGAAGCTCTAATCTTTACCCCAAGCTGACAAGGCTTATTGTCATCCTTATCAGCCTCCTCAGGTGACAAAAGGGCAGGCAGGGCCCAGAGGCAGCTCGGCCGGGGCCACACAGGGTGGCGGTGTCCACCTGCCCTGTGGACCGTCTCCTCCTGACCCCTCCCAGGTGGTGGATGTGCTGAGCCTGGTCCCTCCTTCCTCCCTGCTCCAATGCACCATCCACAGGGGTCTTGCCAGGGCCTGGGGCTGGTGCTGGGGGACAGGTCCTCCCCTGACACTGGTGGGGCCTTGTCGGGACCACAGCCCCCCTTGCAAACAGCAAGAGTGTGGGTCCCCACCACGTTTGGGGACAAGGAACTCAAAAATCGGAGGAAAGACATGTGGTGTCTTCTGCAACTCTGAGTTAAGGACCCCAGGCTGTGCACCTGTCTTCCCCAGGGACATCTGAATTGTATGCTCTGACAGGTGACTGCGGGGACAGAGCACCCCCAGCGGCACGCTGACCCTCCAGGGTGAGGTGTGTTAGCCCCAGGTGCTGGCCCTTCAAGGGAGGTGCTAAAGGGCACATGTCCCAGGGCACGGGAGGCAAAGAGCCAGGACCCAGGTCTGTGCTGAAGTACCCCCTGTTCCCCTTCCACTTTCCCGGGGGTGTGGTCGGTTCCACAGCCACACTGGTCCAGGGGTGCAGCATGTGGCCCTGGGGCCTCCCAGACCGGTCCCCTCGCAGCCCCAGGGCAGGGACGGGCTCCTCACCCTGCTGCCATCCTCCCAGGAACGCTGCGCCCTCTGGGTGTGTCTGCCGGCCTGAAACACCTGTTTGTTTTGTTGGCTTTTCATTCCGTGACAGTTACACGCCGTACACGTCAGTCTTCCATCCTCCTTGATATCTCGAAGGCAAACGGCGCTGAGAAGGCAGGTCTCTCCTCTCTGACCCCTGAGGGTGACAGTTTGACTAACGGCTGCTTCTCCCCCCGTAGGTGTTAAACCTTTCGGAAAAGAGATACGACCTGACAAAGCTCAACCCAAAGGTAGGTCCGTGATGTTTGTCCTGCTCGTATGAAAGTAGTTTGTGGCGGTGCTGCAGGAAAGTGTGTCACAGCTCAGCTGTGACAGCAACCTGGATCCGGGCGAGGGACCAAGCAGCACTTGGAGGGCTGGAGAACTCAGGTTTATCATGCCAGTGGGCCCAGAGGTGTTAACACTCCGAGCTCTGGACCCCGTCTGTGGGTTTACTCAGGCCTTTATAGGTGCCAGTTTACACTTTGCAACATCATATGCAAATAAGGTCTAATGAAAGTTGACTAATGAGGAACGAGCTTTGTAAAAATGGACCAATCAGGAGGGAGAGAAATAACCAATCAGAAGTGAGCTCCATGCAAATGAAATACTACATATGGACCAATCAGGAATGAGGGAAACAGGCCATTCAGGAGTGAGAGAAATAACCAATCACTAGTGAGTTCCATGCAAATGAAGCACTACAAACGGGCCAATCAGGAGTGAGCTCAGGGAACCAATAGAACTTCAGGGGTAAGTAAGCTGTTTAGAGGCAGAAAGTGAGACAGAGCCTCTGGGCCAGGGAGCCGGGTGGTGCTGGCAGGAGAGCAGTGGCCCTGCCTGGGGGTCCTGCCCATCTTTTTATGGGGCTTCCCGCCTCAGCAGGTCTTTGTGGGATTCGACGTAAGAAGGGGTGTTAGGAACTGTTCACATCCAGGACTAAGGTTGTTTCATCTATTTTTTGGGGAGGGGGAGTTAGGTTCATTTATTTGTTTGTTTTTGGAGGAGGTCGTGGGGTCTGGACCCCGACCCTCACGCACGCGAGCTTCTGCTTTACCACTTGAGCTATGTCCTCCTCTCTATGACTAACTTTTTTAATTAATCTTTTTAGAGTTCAAAATAGTTATAAGCTCACAGGAAGTTGAAAAAAATAATACAGAGAGAGCCCACGCAGCCCTGGCCCCGTCTTCCCTGGGGGTCACGTCTTGCATAACTCAGAGTAAAATATTAATGCCGAGAAGTGGACCTTGGTACCATCCACAGACTGCATGAGGCTTCCACTGGGTTTCCCTGCAGCTGTGTGTGTCTGTCTGTGTGTGTGTCTGAGACCACCGCCACGATCAGATTCAGAACATTTTCACCTCAAAGCTCTCCCTCCTCCATTATTCTCTTTTGGGGGGGGGGAGATAATGAGATAATCGAGTTTATCTATCTATGTGTTTAATATATTTAATATATTTACTTAATGGAGGTCCCGGGGGTTGAACCCAGGACCTTGTGCATGCTAAGCACGTGCTCTACCACTGAGCTAGACCCTCCCCTCAATATTCTTTGTTTTTGGTACAGTGTTCTTTTTAGTAGCCAAGATTTAGGGGGGACATTTTGGGGACTGTTGTAAGTGTAAGTTATGGTATATATGGTGCATGTGTATATATATATATATATACTCCACATGTTGGGATATTTGGAGCCATTGGAATACAAAGCACGGCATGGTGAGCTGCCTGTGTCACTGCCGGTCAGCAAGGCAGAAGCGAGGATTTAAGTCTTAACAGGGATTCAGCTCTGCGCAGTGTGCACAGAAATGCAGTGCAAGGGGGTCATGGCACCGTACGGCTGTCGGCTCCGAGTGGAAAAGGGGTGTGTGACTTTCTCTGCTCCCGGCCTGTTTCTGAATTGCGCCATCATTTGGCACAATTTCTATTGCTTTCATAAGAAGACAGAGCTCTGCCTCCCCTCCCCGCTGAGAAAAGGAGAGGAAAGCAAAGATGACACCCTTGCAGCCGCGGGTGTAGACCAGGGCATGTGTGTGTCTGCGCACAGACCTCGTCATGTGACGATGGCTTTCTGTGTTTCTCGGTTGTGACCCAGGTTCGGAGGCCTTCCCCCGGCAGGGCAGGGCCCTATCCTCTGAGGAGAAGTTATCTGCCCCGTGAGTGGGCGCAGGGGTGGCCCGCGAGCTTTCCCAAGCTGCCATTGCAGTCTGAGCGGAGGAATCTTGGCAGCGGCTGGGGCCAAGCACCCCTGACCCAGGGCCGGCCAGGCGGGGCTTCTCCCCGTGAGCCAGGCGTTCGGCGGCTCCCGAAAGCCCTTCCTCCAGTTGCCCTCCCAGCCGCAGAAAAACAGTGAGGACCCCAGGGGGAAAACATAATCTTTCATATTTTTCTGTGCAGTAAAGCAGCCTGGGCGCAATTCCCACTACGTTTTAGAAAAGGAGCAGGCAGTGTTGTTCTTGACTCTAAAATGAAATATTTTGATAATTAAAAAAAAAGAAAGCAAGAAACACTGTCGACTGGAAAAAAATAAAAAAGCACAACCTAATAGTTGAGAATGAGGTTTTATTCGGTGGAAGAAACTGAGGACGTAAGTCCGGGAGACAGCGTCTCAGATTTCTCGGAGGGACTTCTCTGAAGAGGTAGGGGAGGAGCCAGGATATATGAGATGTTGCGTCCAAGACGCGGTAGTTGGAACATGAAACGCTGCCTGTTAATTAATGAAAACCAGGCATCTCAAGTTGGAATTTAGTGCTTTTTTATGTATGGGAAGGTGCAAAGTTTGGGCTCATTGGAGTCGCCTTGGATGTGCACCTGAGCTCTCCAGGGCCAGTGTCCTGTCCTCCCCTGTCCTGAGTACCCCTGGGCACTGCTGGGGGTGGGGCAACGGCTGAGGGCTGGACGGCCGCGGCATCCTTTGTTCACTGATGTGGCGGGGCACCCCTCTCATTCGCACCGTCATCACCTTCTCTGTGTGCCCCGCAGATCCTGGACGTGGGCTGGCCCGAGCTGCACGCGCCGCCCCTGGACAAGGTGTGCACCATTTGCAAGGCGCAGGAGGCCTGGCTGAACAGCGACCCCCAGCACGTGGTCGTCATTCACTGCAGGGTGAGCGCCCGCCCGCTGGGGTTTGTGGGTCGGTTTTCATACTCATCCTTCGGGGAAAAAAACCAAGAGTCCTGCAGCCTCCCAGTGTCCGGCTTCAGCACGTGTGGGGCTGAGCTGCACGCAGTAAAATACCGCAGGAGAGTGCGTGCCTTCATTTCCACGCACTGTTATCAACGGAAGCCCCTTCTGCAGAAGCAGGGCGCTGCTAACGATGCGGGCCACCTGCTCTGCGCGGCCTAGCTGGCCAGACACGGTGGACAGGCTGCTTCCCCGGCAGGGACGGGACGTGTCCACCCTGGCGGGGGCAGCATCTGGGCTGCCCGGACCCGCTTCCCTCCCTCCTCCCATCTCCTGCTTCTGCAGCTTCTCGGCTGCCCTGGAGTGTTCCCAGCCTCCCCTGCAGCCCCCAATTCCGCACGCCTGATCCTTTCCCCAGACACCGCGAGCTCGTGCCGCGCCGGGAGAGGAAGGCTCTGCCCAGGGAAGGTGCGGAGGGTGGGCTCCAGCCCGGAGGGAGGGGCCGGCCGCCCCTGCTCTGTGCATTTTACACCGAACTCCGAGGCCATCAGCACGTCTCGTAGGTGAAGACGTCTCCGCCTGGCAGCGTTTCTTCTCTCCGACTTGGCACGCTCAGAAGCTGCACAAAACCCTCTGCATCAGGGACCTGTGTTTAAAAGAGCCACCCCTTCATGTCGTGGCCCCGCAGGAGCCCTGAGACCGGCCCCGAGGGTGAGACAAAGCTCCCACGCCCCGGACCTGACAGTCGCTCGCCCAAGGAAGAGCCGCCGGGAGCACAGAAGGCGTCTCTCTGCCTGTCTTTCTCTCGCCTCCGATGTGATCACGTTGTCTCGCCAGCAGCCAGGTGGTTCCAGTGGTTCTCCTGCCAAATTAACCAAGTTAAAATGGAGAAACAACAGAGAAGAATTAGTGAAATCAAAAAAGCTGGAGACGAGTGAAGCTGATCATCTCCGGACCACAAGGGCCTCGGCATGCAGAGACCCCCAGAGCGCACCCTTTTCCTAAACGGCGCTCGGCTCTCCGGACGCGTCTTGTTAGTGGGATTCACCGGCAACACCTTGAAACGTCTCGGGAGCGGTTTGCCCACCTCACGCTGTCGGGGAGGCCGTGAGCCCTTCCCGAGACGTTCTAGGAAACGTGCCGCGGGGGAGAAGCGGCCTCGTGATTGGGACCTGCCGGCGTGGACGCTGAGGGAGGTCGGTCACCCTGCTGCTGGCGGGACGTCGCGGGCGTCTGTCCAGACGTGCTGGGCCTGCAGGTGCGCCCCTCCTCCCAGGAGAGGGCCCAGTGCGTGGGGCCGACGGGCTCGCTGGTACCGGCTGAGCAGAACCACCCCGCGATTCTTCTGGACGGTTTCGCCCCGTCTGCACCGCTGAGTTTGGAGCCGTTGGAGAGGAATGTTCACGGCGAATCCTGCGATCAGTGATCCGGATGAAAAATTCAAGTCCCAAGACGGTTGCTTGTGCTTGAAGACTTCCTGCCCGTCAGCAGTGCCCCGGAAACAGCGGCTGGTGGTTGGGGACGGCCACGCGGAGGCCCCCGCGTGTGCGGACCAGGCGGAGGTGCTGTCCACATGCAGGGTTGACACCAGAAGCCCCCCGGGGGGTGCACGGTTCCAGCTGCAGGCGCTGGGGTCTGGTGTGGACGGCTGGCTGTGCATCTGCCCGAGTGTACTGAGCGTCCACGAGGACATGGGGGTCACGAGGCTGAGGGGAGGACGCTCCCGATGCCATTCACGCGTCAGGATCCAGCCCCAAGTGTCCTCCGTCCTCCCTTGTCCAGGACGCACCGGGGACCTGCGGGCTGGTGGCGCAGCTGTCTGGCCCACGTGATTCTGGACCAGGGCTGTCGCCCACTGTCCTGGAGAGACCCAGACGGGCACCCGCAGCTCTGGGCCCCGCGGGCCCCTCACACCTCCCGTCGCCGGTGGACACAGCCCCGAGGTTCCTGAGCAGCCAGGCGTGGCCGTGTTCTGACAGACTTTCCCCGGGAACACTGACGTGTGACAATCACGTGACTTTACGTGTCATTGGAATGGCATTCTTTTGGTTTTTCTTCAGCTGTTTGAAAGTGTAAAAACAGCTCTTAACTCACAGGTGGCCGGTGCTCCGGGCATGGGCGGAGGTGGCTGGTCGGCCGACCGCCGTCCGGGGTCGTGGCGATGTGTTTCGGAAGGTGGTGGTCCCTGGTTCCACCAGGGGAAGGGGGCCCGTCATGGAGCCCGGGTGCCTGCAGCCGGCTTATGGTGGCAGCAGAGACCTCGGTCCTGCTGGGCTGTCCTGTCCGGGCTCCTTGGTCCTCTGTGATGCTGGTGGCTGGCTGGGCTCAGCTGTCCTGCTCCTCTGGGCCGTGTGTGCAGCCCTCCGAGCCCTGGGCCTGTGCGTGGGGCGTGAGTCGTGTCCATTGCTTCTGCCCCGGCTTCACTGGGACACGGGGAACCGAGTGGCCGCCTATGTGCAGACCAGCCTGGGGGGCGTCCTTCGATGCCTGGGGAGCACTTGCTTCGGCCGGCTGCTGGCCAGCGGCCTCCCGCAGGCGTGTGCCCCGCCCCAGGGCAGGTCTGCACAGAGGACGCTTCCCTCCAGACAGGCTCCGTGCTGCGCTGCGGGGTGAAGGGCTGCGCCCTGCTCTGACCGCCTCTCTCCCCTCCTGCAGGGCGGGAAGGGACGCATCGGGGTGGTCATCTCGTCCTACATGCACTTCACCAACGTCTCCGCCAGGTAGGAGGGCGTCCTCGCTGCCCTGGGCTTGGGGGGGAGGCTGCCCGGCCGGGAGCTGACCTGCAGGCCGAGGCCGGCCGTGTGCTCGGCGCGTCCCGGGTGCCCGGGGACCCGGCCGCGAGCTCGGGGCGTGCGGCCGTGAGAGAGACGCTTTCCTAGGTGTGGGGCGGGGGTCACCCAGGTCCTTCCGCGGGGGATGAAGCGAGTTAGCAGAGCCAGGGCGGGGCCGTGTCACTGCTCACCTGCGCTCCGTGCACCGTCACGGCAGGGCAGTCCTCACTCCCACTTCAGAGATGACAGTGGGGCCTGGCGGGTGCAGGCAGCTCTCTCGCGGTCTCATGGCCCGTGAGCGGGAGGTCCGGGGCCCCGGGGACGACGGGGTCCACAGGGTAGGGGACCACATGCATGTCCCTGTGGGTTTGTCTGCAGCCGAGGCTGCGTTCAGCGGCCCCTCGCAGGGCATGAACCCCTCCATTCTGACGGGATCCAGGCCCATTCACATCGGCCCATCAGCCTCCCTGTCTCGCATTCAGGTGTGAAACTTGACTTTCCACGTGTTTTCTCTGGAAACACACTGGGGGCGGGCCATGCCTGCCAGGCAGGAAGCCCAACCCCCAGGTGCAAATCGGAGCCCTTCCTGGGGACACTCCGCACCTGTGTGTGCGGACCACCTGGCTTCCCGGTCACGCCGCCTCCCTCGACAAGCCAAGGACTCGGTCAGGGAGCCGGCTCTGCCCGGCGGGCTGCGGGGCGCACCACCCATCTCTGCCCGCGACAGGGTGGCTCTGTCCGGAGCCAGCGTTCCGGCGCCCTGGGCAGGCCCGCGTTTTTGGAAAGCGTGGGCACGCAGCTTTTTCACTCACAGCACATCACCGACACCCTCCTTAAAAGCCCTGGTCTTTCCAAATAGTGTGTCTCAGCTACGCCTGTCAGGAGGCCCTCGCGGGCGGCTCCGGGCCTCGGGGCCTCCCCTGGGAAGTGGGGGCGATGCTGATGCCCCCTCCCTAAGACGGAGTGACCCACCACGCTCGCTGTAACCCGCTTTCCTCAACGAGCGCTCCTTCCTAAATGTCTTTCCCGACGTCATTTCAGTGGCCGCACCGTTCACCGCTCGGTGGACAGGGTGTCATGTATTTAAGCATGTACTGACACTGCCTCTCCGGGTCTTTTGAAGTCTTTCTTTAGAATTTCGGTTGCTTCCTTCTGTGATCTTGTGTCCCTAATGCATGCATGAGATGCATGCGTTCTCACCAGCACATCTTTTTTCCCCCCATTAAAAAAAAACGAAGTGTAGTCAGTTTACGATGTGTCAGTTTCCGGTGCACAGCGTCACGCCCCAGCCAGACACACAGTAAGAGCATCTCAGCCATTCCTACCGGTTCGTCTTACACGTTCTTCCCAGAAGCAGAGCAGTCCTAGAGAGCAGACGTCTGTGAGGCCTTTGCCACACTCTATGCGCATCTCAGAGCAGACACTTCAGGTCACGAAGGAGGAAGAACATTCTTGTAACGGCCCCAGGAAGATGAGGGTCGATAAAGAGTCGGTTCTGACGTCTTGAATGCTGGCCACATGCAGTGTCAGCGTTTAGTACAAGTGAATTCCAGGGGAAGGAAGGCTTAGAAATGCACGTGTGGGTATGGAACTCTGCTTTGTGACTTAAAACACATGCACATGCGGAGTCTTAGATATTCAGGGCGCCTGCACCCCCCCCGCCTCCGTGCAGGCCCCGCCCGGCCCCTTGCTAGACGGACGTGAGCAGCCCGTCCGTGCACCTGTCTCTGCGTGCTTGTCTAGGTCTTTCTGGCGTCCACGTTCCTGCACGCCCTGTTTTCCGGAAGGGGCACACGCACACACACATTCCAGGGAAGGGCCACGTTGTGTGTGATCAGGGTTTCAAGGAAGCTTTGGGCTCAGGTGATCTGAGGACTCTGTGCGTCCTGCCCTCGGCTTGTGCTGAGGTCAGATCAGGAAGCTGCATGAGTGCCCATCCGGGGTGAATCTGTGGGCCCTGTGTGGCTGGACTTTAAGGTCCCGTGGGCTGTTGGAGAACCGAGTGGCTGGCGTGGCGGTCACTTCGGAGATATGGCCTCTGTCAGCTCTCCGCCCCGCCAGCTGAAGCCTTCTCCCTGTCTCAGGCTGTTCCTAGACTGGAACTCAGGGTGTCCCCTGCGGGTCCCAGACTCGCCTCGTGGGGCTGGTGGGTGGCACCAACCGCAGGGCTTGCTGGGCCCCTCCTAGTCCGGAGGCCTGGGTGTGCCCGCTGGCCTCCGCAGAGCCCACTGACGCTGCCCCCATGTGGCACCCATGTGGCAGGAGAGTGGACGCTGGGCCTGAGCCTGCCTGCGGGAAGCGGGGGTGGGCGACCCCGTGCCAGCCGCGCGTGGGGCCCAGTGATGCCCAGCAGAAGGGACTCAGACCCTGCAGGCCTGGCCCCCTCGACCCCTCATCTTCTTGTGGGGAAAGGAGGCCCGAGAGGAGGTGCTGAGTGGGTGTGCCGGGCGGTGGGGCTCCTGAGGGTGCGGGTCCCTCAGAGCAGCCCGGGGGCCCCGTGGTGGCCTTGGGGCTAACTCTCTCCTTCTGCCTCCCCAGTGCCGACCAGGCCCTCGACAGATTTGCCATGAAGAAGTTCTATGACGACAAAGTCTCGACTTTGATGCAGCCTTCCCAGAAACGGTGCGTGTCGTCCCGGAGTCAGAGCGCAAAGGCCGACAAGGCCTCACGCCTGAGGACGTCGTGCCGAGGGGGTGCCTCCTCAGAGCGGCCGAGCCAGGAGGGGCGGTGGTGGGTGCCCGGGATGGATCATGCCCCGCCCTGGCCGGCTCCGGCGTGGACCCG